ATTTAGTTTTTTATGATGGGAATTGATTGACAACCTAAAAGTTTTAATGTTGCAAATCCTGACTTAAGTATTGCCCAAAGACTTCAGTCTTATGCTATTTCTGTGCAAGCAGTACCTAAAATAGTCGGTAAGACTATATTGATTTTTAGTATATCTATAGTTATACACATCTTCAACACTTTTAAACCTTCCTATTTTTTGCTTGCCGTGTTTGTTCATTCTTTTCCACAGTGTCACTGCCTTGTGACAGTGCCTAAATCCTCATGAATATATCAAATACTGAAAGATGAATTGTGACCAGTACTGGTGACCATATATATATGTATGTCTCAGATCATTGCCACTGTGCCTCCTTAACTCATTAACTCTGACATTTCTAGCCAAAACTCCCATTACGTTTTCTTTCTTTCATAAGACTGGGCTGTTCATTACTCATAAAAACTTATTTCTGTCTTCTTTGGCTTCTTAATATAGCTTTTGCATTTTTATAAAAACTTAAATTCTGCTGGTATACTTTCTCCTTCCTGGAGAATTTGCCTTTACTTATCATTTTAGAATATTAGTTATTTTCATGACAAATTCAAAGAAATTTGTTCTTTCAAGAAGGTTCATATACCTAACAAATAGTTTTCCAGCCTCTCATAGATGCAAGGTCCTTCTGAGACTTTTAAATGCAAGACTTTTAAAATAAAATAGAATGCTCTAAATCAAGGCTTCTCAACCTTGGCACAGTAAACATTTGGGGCTAGATAACTCTTTGTTGTGGGGGACTGTCCTGTGCATTTGGGGAGGTTTAGCAACATTCCCTGGTCTCCACCCACCAGATACCACTAGCACCCACCCACTCATCCCAAGCTGTGACAACTGAAAATGTCTTCTAATATTGTGAAATGTTCCCTGAGGGGTAAAATCCCCACCCGTTTATTGAGAACCATTGCTGCATAAGATGAGAAATAGCTGCCATGCGGCCTTAGCTCTTTACTGTAGATCCAGGGGGAGAGCTGGGCTCTAGGCCACATGGCTCTATCAGGAATGACTCAGTGTAGGCAAACAGAGTAGAAGCAGTGACAATCAAGGCTGTTTAATAAGTTAGAGTGAGAAACCAGTTCCAAGTAGAGAAATCAGAGGTGTGAGCTAAGTCATCAAGAATCCTAAGAATCCCAACAAATCAGTAAAGCCTACTGCTTTGGATAGAAGTGTTTGAAGCTCTTAAAGCCAGATTTTTCCATATTCTAGAAAGAACTCAGGGATAACACCTCACTTGCCTAGGCTATCAGTATGTTGCCGTCCTTTGGGGACTCAGATTCAATGAAAGCAGCACATTTTGCACAGCTGTTTGACATGGCTGATTTGACACCGCTGTTTCTGTTGGCTGACAGTGAGGATGGGGTATATTTTAAGCCACCAAAACGGCCACATGTTTAATATCAGGTAACCTGCACATTGGATGGACATCACTGACTCCTCAGTCCACACATCAGGATCTCGGATGGAAGAGAGAAAAAGAAGCTGGAAGTTTAATGGTGTGTTTATTATACCAGGTCAAATGGTTCCTGCACCAAAATGTCCTCAAACGAAAATGCCGAAGTCAGGACAGCAGCCTCAGACAGTTGCATGCCCTACTTGAGCTATGCCCAGAAATGGAGCTGTGTTAACCATATCCATCACCTGTTTGTGTGACACTACATATTTCAGTTATGTGCTAGGGGCTTGGCTACCAGCAGCCGTCTCACTCAGTACACAGGACCACAGGCTCAGTTTGGAAGAAACATCACATGTTGACTCTGCCACTTCTGAGCCATGTAACCTTGAGCAAAGCACTTTCTGAAACCTTAGTTTCATCGTCTGTGAAATAGGGGTAATAATAGGGCTCATCCTGTCGGATAATAAATGAGATAATAAAGTTCTCAGCACTTATTATTAGTATAATTGTGGCATGAACTAGCAATGGACTTGTTATTCAGCTTTCTATGTTGTCTTCAAATGGTGTAATGGTCAGAAAGATGGTGCCAAGTAGCTAGAGGGTCCCAACGGCTGTGTCCACCCCACCCCCCAACACACACTCACACACACACACAGTTCAGGGCCTGCTTGGGCTGGAGGAGGCCCAGCTGCTCCCTAGCCTGGACTCTGAGGTTGGAGTTGATAGTTTCCTCTTGGGAATCAGTTGTATCCTGATTTAATCAGAGGGCTGGTTTAGTCTATGAGAGACAATTTTTTTCTTTCCAGGACTGTTGTCACTCTGGGTTTCTCTGTACAAACTTTTGTTTTGTAGGAATCTTAGGGAATCAAGAATGGTATAAGAGATCTCTGTTAACTTTTGGGGGAGATCAGAATATTACCTTAGGTTATTTTACACATATGCTACTATTTGAAGTCAATATATGTTCAACCAGAGTTAGGAAACAGGCCTTTTAAAATCTAATATACTGCTTGGCTTCATATTTTGACCATTTAATTTTTTTTAAGTTGCCATAGAGACCTGGTTTCTGAATCATTCTCCAATTTTTTTTTTTGCTTATTTTAAGTGATCTTAGGAAAGGAATGAAAAGTAAATATGACAATATATTTGTTTTTTAAGAAAAAAAGACATGTGCATGTGTGTACTTAAGAAGAAAGTGATGTTTAAGTTTGTTTATTTTTTAAATGCTTTCTGTGGATACTTCCACTGGTTTTGTTTTTCCTCATATAGGGAATGCTTCTACAGAGAAGAATGGTGTTTCCTTCAGTGTTCAGAACGGAGATGTGTGCCTTCATGATTTCACTGGAAAACAGCACATGTTTAACGAGAAAGAAGATTCCTGCAATGGTAAAAGCCGTATTGCTCTAAGAAGGACTTCAAAGCGGGGAAGCTTACATTTTATTGAGCAAATGTGATTCCTTTTCTGAAAATCAAAGCATGTTGCTTGACAGTGTGAAAATGTCCAGTTTTACCTTTTACACAATGTGAGTTGTATGAAAATCAACTAATTTTATACTCAGCAACCTCTGACGGAACATAAGCTAATTGAGGGCAATGGTTACTATTGGAAGAGGAAACCAAAACATTATACCATGGTTCTTAGACTTTTGTGATTTGGTTTCTTATCCTTCATTTTAAAAGAAGATTGATTTTAAACAACACACTATGAATAAGACTCATTTTAAAAAAATCAAAGTAGTTCATTTCCAGCCCCATTTACAGAGGCTAAGTTATCTTTGATAACATCATATAAAGCCACTGTTGACTTCAGCCTGCTGGTGAGTTTCGCTGTGCATGCCTTTGTTGTAAATAAGCTAAATTCTAGTGACCCCACATGTCAAAAATCTTATTTCCACATTTTTGGTATTTATTTTCTACTGTGTAAATTTCTTTCTTTGTAGAATCGTGGTTGTGTTGTTGTGTCTAATGTGATAATTCAGAAAATCTTTGCTGGTTCAGTGAATTCTAAAGCTCCTTTTGGAGACTGTATGGGATATGAAATACAGGAACTTCTCGGAAATCTAGAAATGACGCCAGCCAGACTGGAAAAATGTAAGCAGACAGTGCCACAATTAGCTCATACAGTGCCTTGGAGTGAGTTAGAAAAAGGTGGGCAGACACAGCCCAATGGGCTCATGATTTGGCAGGCAGAGTGGGGGCCATATTTTAGCCCCATTCACCCGTTTGGGTGTACCCTTGTTCAGGGTACAACCTGTACAACTGTACACAGCATCTAATACAGTTACCTGTCTCCTGTCATCATCCCTAATCATCAATTTATGGAATCTGCACCAAGATGTTTAGCTTAATGCCTTGGTCACAGAGAGGGATGGAACTGTAATCTTGACCATATGGCAGGAAAATTGTGAGTGTAGAGGAGATACATACACTGCCACTTCCGAAATCCCCAGAGCCTTTCAGAAAAGGGGAGTTAGAGTCATATTACTTTTTAAAAGAGATGTACATAAGGCAAAAAAAATCATATTGCTGTTCTTTAAAAGGCAACTGCATGGTACTTTGTTGATTATTATGATTGGTACACTCTGGCCAGCCAGAGCTATAATTATTTTTTAAAATAATTGTCTTGAAGAATGTATAGTGACAAGGGGGAGCAGCTATTGGGAACAGTGAACTATCCTGCAATGCTGTTGTTTCCATACATGTCAAACCCTGATTGCTCCTAGTCATAGTGGGTCTATCTTGCTTCCCACCTACAGCTGCTTGAGCAGTGTCTCAAGTGTGTCCTTATTAGGAACATTTCAAAACCCTTTAGTTAGGTCTTTCACCAAGGTTCCCTTGCATATATTTCAAGTGAATGTTGTATCCCAGACTAACCATAATAATAACGTAATACACTTCTGTGAGTGCTGATTTGTCTTTGCAATATTTCTTCTCCAATTTATTTAATTGCCTTGTATTTATATGTTAGAATCAACAAAAATGTTAAAATCGCCAAAATAAATTTGCAGTTAAGTCCTTTAAGTTTGAGAACTTTCACACAAAGAAAACGTCTGTGATTTCTTTCCCTGGCGGTGGAGCATGGAAGCAATTGGACCGGCCTGATGAAGACAAACTGAACAGTAACCTCCTTTGGCAGGCAGCCAGGCCATAGCAAATTCTGCATGGTCAGGGCACATCACATGGATTGTTGTATTATTTAAGAGCCAATAGCAAGAAAGCAAAAAGCATGTGAGATGATGGATTTGGTTGAGTGACACAGATTTACGTTATGGAATTTCTAAAATGAACTTGGTTAAGGACCATACATAGGGGACCCAGCTGAGCAGGACTCATTTTCTTTCATTCATTCATTCAGTACTGAGCTACAACTATATGTTCAACACTGTACCAGGCACAGGAGGAGATACCAAAGACTGTTTCAATGAGTAATTTATAATCTAGTTAGAAAAACATGACACACATGAAAACAGTAACAATATGAGGCAATACATTATTGTCAAATGATGATGAAAACAGCTATGATTTATGAACTACTTTTTCATGAGCCAAGCTTGGTGGTAAGTGATTTATATTTATCCTCTTGAGCATAGCCACCCTAGGAGGTAGGTGCTATTACTACCCCCATTTTACAAATGAGAACATTGAATTTCAAACAGCTAGAACAGCATGCCAAATCTCACACCACTTGTAAATGACAGAACTGGAATTTGAACTCAGTTGGAAGTGACTCCAAGATCTAAATTCTTACTAAAGAAACTGTCATGGAAATTCAGAGTATGGGGAGGGCTAATAGGGAAAATTTGGGCTGGCCCTTAAAGACAGGCTTCAGATAGGCAAGGAGGTGGAGGAAAAAGCTTACTGGGTCAAGCATACAGTAAATGCATGGAGACTAGCAAAAGGCTTGTGGAAACCATTATATTAGGCGAGCAGTCCACTGGAATTCACATGGGACCAGATTTTGGTGGAAAATTAATACTGAGCAGAAAATTGTAAAAGTTGTAGGTAATTATCAGCCACGAGAAACTAATGCCAAGTTTCAAGATGTAGGCCTGGAGATGGACTGCAGGTCAGGCCCACTGAGCTTCTCCCAGGTGGCTAGGGGCGAGGCCGCAGGCGCAGGGGACAGCTGGGGGGCACTACCCTGTCCAGTCGGCCACTTTCCCTTTCCCCCTGGGCCACACTACTCTGCTTCCGCACGACGGCAGAGACGCGACCAGGGGCAAAGCTACGATTCTGGCCCGCGGAGGGGCGCCCAGGCGATTGCGATGGGCGAGCCTATTTCTCCCACCTCTGGAGAGGTTAGCAGCCCATCCTGGGGGTCGGTCGCTGGGGAAGGCAGCCTTGTCCGCTGCCGGGAGACGGTCCTTCATCTCCCCAACTGGGAGCGTTCTGCTCCGCGGGGGCGGGGGCGGCAGCGGAGCTAGAGGGCTGGGCCGGGGATGGGGTTGTGAGCTCATCTCAGGGCGGGGCGGGGCGGGACCTCTAGCGACCGAGCGTGTTTAGGGGCGTTTTGGGCCCCTAGTGCAACCGTCCCCCGAACCTTGCTCCACGGCCCCGGCTCCGCGGGTTCCGCTTTGCGCCGGGGGCGGGTCCAGGGGGGCGGGTCCAGGGCGTCCAGGTGCCCGCGACGGAAGGGCCTGTTTCAATAGCCCCGGCTAAGGTCGGGGGGCGGCGCAGAGGTAGGAGGCTCAGAAAGACAAACTGATTCCTGCCCGGAGCTAGGTTCTCCGCTGCTCTTGCGGGCAACCTCGTTTTCCTTCCCCAGGGGGCCGCCACTCGGAGGGTTCCGTTCCGCGGCGGAGGCGTGGCCGGGGGCGGGGCTGCGAGTGGGCTGCGGCAGGCGGGTTAGATAGGGTTGGCTGACTGCCCGAAGACAAAAAAGGCTCGACGAGGGCATAGTCGCTCCACACCCGGAACCAAGTTCCGCGCTTCTCCCGCGGGGCCGCCCGGGACGCACGAGCGTCGGTAGCGCGGCGGGCCTGGTCAAGGCGGGGCCGCCATAGCGCCAGCCCCTGTATCCGCCCCCGCGCCTTTCAGCCGTAAGAAACTAGTTGGCTCGTTTTCCATTCATACTTAGATTCTGTCATTTAAAGAAGTCCCTACCTCTTACCACCGGGCTCTCTCCTGAGAACTGCCCGAGGCTCTGAGTGCTTGGGAACCAGACCCGCTAGGTGGCCGCACCTCCACGCAGCAAGTCGAACGCCACTGCCCGGGAGCATAGCGGAGATGAGGAGCAGGAGCAACTCCGGGGTCCGCTTGGATGGATACGCACGGCTGGTGCAGCAAACCATCCTGTGTTACCAGGTAAGGAGGGACCCCTAAGTGCCCTCTCAAGGCATTTATTCTACTACCCAGCCCCCTCTTGTGTTCTGAGACTGCGGTTAAGAGGTTTCCTCTTTAAATCTAGTCCTTACTGGCCGTTGTTTACTCCCCACCTCCATTACCACCCCGTCCACTTTACGAGTCAGAGGACCGAAGGGCTGTGCGGCTACGCTTTACAGAATTCTTTGACCACTGTTTGGGATCGAAGATATAAAGAGCCCCGTGGGTGCGCTGGGTACAAAATGCATCTTTTTGCACTGACTCTGCTTCTTTTGGATCGAGGAGGTGTGTGTAGGTTGAACAGAGCACACTTAATGAGGATGGTGAACTCTGGACTGGGAGGACGGCAGACAGGAGTGAAGAAGCTCCCGAGGTCTGCATCTCACTCCGGGTGTGGGGCGACTGCTGCTGTCCCACTCTTGTTAGAGACTACCTTCTAGGGCTTTAGGGCTTACTCTGGTTGCTATTTTACAGATGAGAAAACTGAGGGCCAAAAAAGTTACTGCGGATAGTAGGGTCAGACCCAAACGTAGGTTTTGCTCCCAAGTTGAAGGGAATCTGTGAAGCTGCCCATGTTGTCTGGCTCCTGTTTTTTATTACCGGCTAAGGTTTTATGTGGGCCCATCATGTAAGACCACTGGACTATTTTTATTCCTAGTGAAGACAACAGCTATGTTGCTTGCCCTTAATCAACAGCAACTATTTATAGGACCTCCATGTCAGAGAAGGAAGGAAGGGGCATTCTACGATTAGATGCCTGGCCTTCAAGATGGGAGCCATGGTCACTCCCAAGCCAGTGACCGTTTTCCCTTTAGTCAGTTTCTTAGCCTTGTTTCTTCATCCAGGAAATATTTATTGTGTATCTATTATATGCAAGGCACTCTGTTGCTGGGCTTACAGAGAATAAACGCTTGCAGTGCAGTGAGATGTATACGTAGGAAATAGGTCCAGAGTCCCTTGTCTGAAGTTCTTGGGGCCAGATGTGGTTTGCAAGTCAGAAATGTTTGGATTTTAGGGAGGTAGTATACATATATATTCTCTAGTAACTGCAGTGGAGTCTGGCAGCACCCCTTAATCAAACACATGATTATTTTCCACATCAGAATATGAATATTCACACTGAGTAGGAAAATTAAAGACTGAATATAGTTTCACAACAGTTCAGGTCACCTTTTGCCACCAAACAAGCTTGCTACAAACTTATGAAAACACTTTAAATTTTCAGAGTATACTAGCTTTTGAAATTGCACGTGAGGACTGTGGTCCTTATTTGTGGGTGCTTAGCCCAGTTTGGGGAGCAGGGAGGAGTCCTGGAAGAGATGACGTTCAAGTTGAGAACTGAAGGAGGAGAAGGCAGGCAAATGGGGGTGATCTGGTGATTTTTTTCCCTTCCTCTTTGGAATATAATTACTTTCACAAAGTGTTTTAAAATTCAAGTTGAAATCCTTTCCCTTCACTACTGTGGTGGAAGGAGCTTTAAGGAGAACTGATCAAGCTTGGTTCTTGTGTCACACCCAGGTTTGAAGCTCTGCCTTGAACAGTTTGGGTGAGTTTTACCCAACCTCTCTGAGTCCATGCCCTTATCTATAAAATGGGGATAATAACACCTGCCTCCCTCAAGGTATTGTGAAGAAAAGATGAGTGCCCGGTATGTTACCTGGCCCTCAGTAGGCAATTAGTAAATAGTGAGCGCTGTTGTGGTGTTATGACTTTGATAGAGGCCACACATACCCAGGCCACAAGTCCTCGCCTCACCACCCTGGCCCATGATGCTCCCTTTCCTGAAGGCCCTGTTACAGCTACTAATTGCTCTCTGGTCTTTGAACATAATTATGTCTTCCCATTGATGCGGTGAGATTCTTAAGCACAGAGACCTCATCAGTTTTGTTCCTTTTGCATCAAGCAGTGCTCTCAGCACATGAAAAGTACCCTTATGTCCTTGTTGATAAAATACTTTCTGCAGGCTCTGTGCCATTTTAGTGACCCAGCTATTGATCCAAGCTTACCTTCCCCCAGGAGCAAAAGAACTGTCTTCCCATTAAAGCAAATCTGCAGCATTGGACTTTCCTCTCCAACATTTTAATGATTAAAAAAAAGTTGTCTGCGCCTTTAGTTGTATTTATTTTGGGAGTAGTTGGTGATACACCCTCATGTTTGCCCTGTTTTTCTCTTCCTGACTTAATAGTCAAGCTCTTCTGGTTAACCAGAACACTCCAAGTACGGTTCTGCTGGGAAATCCATGAGTCTGCACGTGCAGAGTCGCATTCCTTCCCACCTTCCCCCACCCGGCCCCCACCCCACTCCAACAACTAGTCTTCACAGGTGTAGTGCTCTAATCCATTTAGCACCTCGTTGTCTTCTGAGTGATCCTAGGCAGGTCACCTCTATACTCTGTAAAAATGAATGAGCAATTTTGTGCTGTGTGTATTTTACCACAATAAAAAAATTGAGTGGTTTCTAAAGTTTGTTCTATCTCCCAGCTCCTGTAGATATGCGCAGATGCTTATGAGGCATTTTTCAATGTCAGCTGATACAAACGTTGACCTCTGTTTCTGATTTGCTTTTTTTAATTGAAGTATAGTTGATTTACAATATTATGTTATTTTCAATTGTGATAACTTGGTGATTCAGTATTTTTATAGATTATATTCCACTTAAAGTTATTACAAAATAAGGGCTATATTTCCCAGTGCTATACAATATATCATTGTAGCTTATTTATTTTATACATAGTACTTTTACCTCTTAATCCCCTCCTCCTGTCTTGCCTCTCCCCCTCCCCTCTCCCCACTAGTAATTATTAACTTGTTCTCTTTTTGTGTGTCTGTTTCTGTTTTGTTATATTCATTTATTTGCATTTTTTAGATTCCACGTATAAGTGATAACATACAATATTTGTCTTTCTCTGGCTTATTTCACTAAACATAATATTCTGTAAATCCACCCATGTTGTTGCAAATAGCAGAATTTCATTCTTTTTTATGGCTGAGTAGTGGTCCATTGTGTGTGTGTGTGTGTGTTTGTGTGTGTGTATCACATCTTCTTTATCCATTCATCTGTTGATGGACACTTAGGTTGCTTCCATACTTTGGATATTGTAAATAATGCTGCTATGAACATTGGGATGTACATATCTTTTCTAATTACTGTTTTTGTTTTCTTCAGATATATACCCAGGAGTGGAAGTTCTGGATTATACAGTAATTCTGTTTTTAGTTTTTTGAGGTCCATACTGTTTTTCATAGTGGCTGCACCAATTTACATTCCCATCAGCAGTATATCAGGATTCCCTTTTTTCCACATCCTTGCCAATATTTGTTATTTGTGTTCTTTTTGATGATAGCCATTCTGACAGGTATGAGGTGATATCTCATTGTGATTTTGATTGGCATTTCTCTGATGATTACTGATGTTGAGCTCTTTAAACTGAGATCAACTTACATTGATTTCACTTATTGGCAATCATTTAGCGTTAAATATATCAAACTCATAATCATTTGTTAGAGGTAATGGTATGTTCATATCAACTAGCATGTCAACTAATTCCTTTTCCTGTGTCTGTGAAAGAGAATTTTTTCCATTAGTCATTTGCCAAATGTACTTACTGCTAAATATTATTTGAATCTTTAAGGCAAAGAAGGGAAGGGCTATATTTACAAAAGGATCCTTTTTGCAGGATTGGTTTTGAATATATGGAGAGTATAAATATATACTCTAGGGAGTATCTTCAAATATGTGTTGACTTAAAAAATAAAAAAAGAAATTCCTAGATTTATTTTGGCCTAGATAAGAAATAATAAGTTTGTACATTTGTTCAATATCAGCTGTTATAAGGTTCCTTCAAAAAAGTGTTACGTTCAAAGTGGTGATAAGAGAATATGAATCAGAAAGAAAAATAATGAGCAAGGCAGTGTTCACTGTAACTGCAAGTTATTTGGTATAAAAAGCAGATAATTAAGAGACCAGGACAGTAAGTAAATTTAAAAGGAGGAGAATGGGATAACTAAAACATGCAATATGGAACAAATAGTAGTAATAATAAAGACTAGTTTGGGGGAAGGTTAAAAGAAGATATAATTGAATACTGGAAAATAATAACATGGCAGAAGAATGGGAGGAGACTGGAGTTAAACCTGTTTTTTTTTTTTTTAAATTTTAAAGATATATGTGTATAAGAGACAAATCTAAAACAGAAGATACTGAAAGTTTGAATGTAATTTAGTGGGATAAGATATACTAGGAAAATGCTAACCAAAAAGAAGTTGGTGTAATTATACTTACATCAAACAGAAGATTCTGAAATTTTAAAAATTCTATTATTAAGAATAAAAAATGTAAAAAAAAGAATAAAAAATGTTATCACCACATGATGAAAGAGTAATTCACCAAAAACTAAAGCAATTCTAAACCCATAGAATACTAACACTAATACTAACAACTTTAAAATACATAAAGCAAAACTTGACTTAATTGTTAACAAATCCATAATCAGAGTGGAAGTTTAAAATTCCCTTCTCTGAGATACTGATGTATCAAATAGACAAATAAGTAGGACATAGAAAATGTGAGCACTTCCATAAGAAACAAACTTGATCAAGTATATATACATTAGAATCTTGTGCACCACCAACAGAAAATACTTATTCGTTTTAACCTTGCAAAGTATATTTTTCAGAAATCGATGACAAATTAAGGTATAAGGGAAATCTCAAAAAATACTAAAGAATCAACTTTATGCACACCACATTTTTTGGGCAAAATGCAAGAAAATTAGAGAGCAATAACAAATAACTGCTAAAGCCTCCCCCCCCCAAAAATGTTTGAAATCTTACTAAGCCCACTTCTAAACATATCTAAATAGATCACAGATATATGTGTCGTGTGTATATATATATATATATATATATATAAAATGTCATATATCTAAGAAGAAATTATAATGGAAATTATGAAATATTTAGAACTGAATGAAAACAAAAGCA